GCCACCGCGCCCGGCTAGTTTTTTGTATTTTTTAGTAGAGACGGGGTTTCACCATGTTAGCCAGGATGGTCTCGATCTCCTGACCTCGTGATCTGCCCGTCTCGGCCTCCCAAAGAGACTCTGTTTCAAAAACAAAAAGAAAAAAAAAGAAAGTTGACCCAAAGCTATGCATATATTGAGTACTCACTCGTTACATGTCTAATTGTAAAGACCACCTAAGATTCTCCTGTACTTTTCCCTCTGCTTAGTATTTACCACAATTTACCACAAAGTTATTCATATGATTATATATTCAACAGATCTCTCCCTGGACTGTAAACTCCATAAGGACAGGGAGAGAGGACAGGAACCAAATTGTCTTGATTATTGTTTTATTCCACTGCCCAGCACTGTACCTAGTACTCAACAAATATTTGCAAAAGAATCTTTATTAAATACAAGTTTCCAAACATTTCCATAGTGCTTATTATCTGCCAGTCTCTGTTCTTAGCACCTTAAACATATGAACACATTTAGTTTTCGTAACAACTCCATGAGGTATATACTATCAATGTCCCCACTTCACTGATGAGGAAACTAAGGCAGGGAGATTAGGTTCTTAAGCGATTCTGTTTTATCAAATACGGACACACATTTGTTCCAAAACATTAACTGGCCTCTATGACAGGAGCTATGGGACGTGCTGGGGACACAAAATAAAATCGTGGTTAATACTTTTTGAGTACCTACTATATGTCAGGCTTGGTGTTAGGCACTTTATAGAACTTTATGAACTTTACAGAACTTACAATATCCTTAATCACATTTGATTATTTGTACTCAGTGTTACTTACTGATTGCTTGCTTGCTTGATTGATTGAGACAGGGTCTCGCTCTGTCGCCCAGGATGGAGTGCAGTAGCAGGATCACGCCTCACTGTAGCCTCAAACTCCTGGGGTCAAGTGATCTTCCCGCTTCAACCTCCCGAGTAGCTGGGACTACGCACACACGCCACTGTGCCCAGCTAATTTTTAATTTTTTGCGGGGGAAGGGTCGGGGGGGTGGAGTGTTTTCCTATGTTGCTCAAGATGGTCTCGAACTTCTGGCCTCAAGTGATCCTCCCGCCTGGGTCGGCGTTACTATTCTAGTCCGGCCTCCTACTTTCCCGGTAAACCCACAAGACTCCGCCCCTTTGCAGAAGCTG